CCCCAAAACCCCAAAACCCCAAAACCCCAAAACCCCTTCCGAGAAGTGTTTTATTGAAACACTTTTTAACCCCAAAAAGATGGTAACATAACAATAATCTTGCAGTCAGTCCAATCAGGAGTACTACATCTTCCATAAAAGAGACAAATTACAGAACATTATGTCTTCAAAATCTTAAAAAATATCAGAAAATACAGTTGCAAAATTTGGGATTTTTAAATCAATTCAATAGAAAATAATAGAAAATTCAACAAAATTATTTTTAGTTAAAAATAGTCGTAAAATTTGTTAATAAAAATTAATGACGTTTTTTGTGTTTTTTAGAGTTTTTAGAGTTTTTAGACTTTTTAGAATTTTTTAGTTTTTTGGATTTTGATGATTTTTTTGATTTTTTAGTGGATTTTGATTTTTTCGACTTTTTGGACTTTTTTGAGTTGGAGGGTCTAGAAAGGTAGAGAGTGTTTTCTTCGAGGCTAGATGCGCTTGATGAGTCGGAATCACTGAGGACTCTGGTGTTATAGAGATCAGTGAGCAATTCTCCTTCGGTTTGTTTGTTATTACGTCTTTCAAGTTCTTTTTGCTTGATAATTTTTATCTGATCTCGGCGATTGAGTTTCTTTTTTCTCACGACTCCAGAAGGATCAACTTCTTTTCTGTATGTCATTAATTCATTATATTTGTCTTTGCCAAGTAAAGCCATCTTACTCTCCAACAATCTTTCCTCTTCTTTCTTCCGTCTAGCTCTATTATTCGCTTCCTCTTCTAATCTTGCAGCTTTTCCGTTATTAATAAGCGTCACAACTTGAGCCAATGTCCTTCTGACCTTATTTTTCTCAAAGAATCTTTGCATATAGGGATGGCTGATATACTTCTCAATAACTTCTTCCTTATTAGCTCACACTTTACTCTTAACAACCAATTCCTTCACTAAAGTAGCTGTAGCTACTTCTTTCCTGATTTCAGCCTCTTTTGAAAGCTTTCTAGAGCGCTTTTGTTCTCTCTTCTTCCGTTGTTCTTCTTCGTCATCCTCTTTCAACTTCTTGACTAGCTCAATGCATTGTTTGACCTGCTTCTCATAGTAAAGTCTCATTTTTCCTTCTCCATAATACGGATTTGGAGCTTTGAGATATTTGATCCCTCATTTGTCCAAATATTTAGTATCCACGTTATACTTATACTTCGCATTGGCAGCTGATATCATCCTAAATTCACGAGAGTTCATTCAGTTATAGCATAAAGGTTTTCTTAGGATTGGACAGATTATGATGATGCTGCCCCTACCATCGATTCTGGTCTGGTAGTAGGGACAACTACCACATCACTTTGCAATAGAGCAATACATAAGTAATTTCCTCCAAAATGTTATGTCCTCCTGGACGTACTTCAGGGCCTTTTTGCGTTTCATTTTCATGATTTCATCCTTAATATTCTCGATTTGTGTTTTGATTTTCTTTTCAATTTCCTCTTTTTCATTACCACGTCAGAATATCTTGTCCTTTGGATTCATATAGAGCATTTTCATATGAGCTATTTTATAGTCTTTCTCCCAGCGTCGGATCTTTCTGGCCTTCATCTCTTCTCTGCGGAGGTACTCTTTGACTGTTTGTTGATCATCAGTGGAGGAATCACTCTTTCGGGCGTTATATTCATGTTCATCATCTGTTGAATTAAAGTCACTGTTGGAGTCATCACTAGTATCTTCAACCATGATCTTATAAGGGTCAAGCTTCTTACCCTTCAGAGACCTTTCCAATTTTTGAGCGATTCTGAGAGTATGCTGGTCATATCCAACAGTTCCTAGTGTGTTTATAAGCGCAGTTCTGATGATTTCTTCATTCCATGACAGCGTGTAGAACTTCTTACTCAAAACTGAGAATGTGAGAATAATATCTTTCGGGCTAAGGAATCTTCAGATTAAAATCCACATCCTCTTGTTAAGTCCCTCAACTTTGTGCTTTTCGAGATCTATCCTAGGTTTGAGCTTGATTAGTGGAAAGAAGGAGAGATTGGGGACTATTCCAGCAAATTTGTACATATTCTTCCATCTCAGCTTCTTCTGAACGTCCACTGGCCCTCTAGATCTTTTCATATCAAAAACTATTTTATTTTTACTAGCAGAAGTTGGTGGGGTCTTTAGGGGTTTTGGGGTTTTGGGGTTTTGGGGTTTTGGGG